GTCACGTTGCGGCACGTTCGCCGTGCGAAGGACAGAGCTGGCATGGTAGGGAGCTTTGCGTTTCGGCTCCGAGGCACGCTCAGGGAGGCAGCGGAGCAGAACAGGACCTGACAGCCTCTTAGCACACCTGAGGGGCAGTGGCAGGCATACGGGACGTCTCAGAACTGAAATGTCGAGGGAGCCTGCTCAGCTCTGCTGTTTGGAAAGATGTGACTGTTGTTGCAACGCCCTGGGCTCTAGCCAGTGCACCTGTCTGCTCTCCTCACTGAGAGCATCACCTGGACTCCTACTGGTGTAAAATAAAAAAAGCATTAAGTTCATCCCTGCTGCCACAAACAATGCTGCGAGTCCATATACTGTAAAGCTAAAATCTTTCCATTTATCTTCAGTGGCTGAGACAGTTCTTTCATTTAAAGTTGGAACCGTAAACATCAGATCCAGAGAGGTCCAGCTGAGGTGGAGCAGGGAGGAGAGAACTGTTTCTCTGAAATTTATTTTTCTGAGATGATGGATTTTTTTTTTTTAATAGGGTTTATCTGCATTACTCTTTGCCACTTCGCTTCTGATGCTGGAGCTGAGGTTTTAAATCTAAGGTGCTTTAATCATCAGTTTGGCTGCTACGTACAGTAATAAATTTGGGACTTTTTTTTTTTTTAAGCTTCTGTCTATGCCTTGTGGCTATGTTCTGCCTTGATTTATAAACTTCTCATCTCATGGGGTTACAAGGCAGCCTACATCAGATAGGAGTTTGGCTCGGCGAGTTCCTCCGCTGCTGTGAATGGGCATCAGTCAGCTGAGGCGTATCCCAGCGTGTTACCTCCTCTGGAGAAAAGTTGTGACGGCGAAAGAAAATGTGAAAATCCTTCCATGGTTAGTAACCTGGGTCAGAGCAAGTGCTTAAGTTAGAGTTACTGAATGAGAAAAAATGTATTGTAGGTATCTAATAGTAATAAGTACCTAATTATCAGCAACTACATGTATCGAGAATGTGGATTCTTTCTTTCCCCAAGACACTGCAAATTAACCAGTACAGATTATCATTGCTGTCGGCGGTCGTGTCTTTGATACGCGTGCCCAATGACTGCGTTGGGCAGTATTGTGTGGAAAGAAATGTCAGAGAGGAGCAACTGAAGCCAATGAGATGTGTTCAAGTAAAGAACAAGGCGGGTGGGAAGGGGATTTGCCCCCAGGACTGGACTGTCGAGCCCCCAGGCTCTGGACAGGCTGTTAGACTTAGCCCAGGTGGACAGGGAAGTGATGAAGGTACGACTTGGATGTTTCTGTTACCAGTAGACACGTGAGCTACAGATCAAGCATGTTGGTCCTCTTCCCTTCATCTTGGTGTTAAGTATCTCAGTCACAATAAATCTATGTACAGCACAAATCTAGGTGAAAGAAATCCATTTGAGGAACCTGGTTTGTCTGCTCCAGGGAAGCTTTGCAGCTGTGTAAGACAGAGGTGTTGCTGATGAAAGCAAGTGGGAGAGCAGAGCTTGTTACCAGGTCAGCTTCGCCGGAGTGGCTGGAGAGCAGCGCGCGGTGCCGGGCTTCCCGAGCCACGCGGGCCTGGGCTGGCCTGGCAGTTTGAGGGAGCAGCTGGTTGTGGGAGAGGTGGCAAGAGCAACGTGCAAATGAACTGAAACGGAGCAGCAGTAACCAGGCAGAGGGTGTTAACAGCAGTCTGCTTCAGCTGACTCGTAGAAAGCAATTCCAGTCATTCCTGAAGTCCCTTGTTACTGTTTCTTGGTTCTCTTCACTGAATATCCCTGTGGCTTAGATTTAATTCGGCATTGATTTCTGGACCAGCTTGACTTCTTTCCTAGCAGAAGCAAACTATTAACCTAAAACGCCGTAGTGGAAGCAGGTGCGGTGCTTTGGTACCTGAATCCAGCTCACTGCAAGCACGGACAAGAGATCTGCTCACTGGTAACATCCCTGGGCTGCTGGTGTATGCGAACACACGTGTGTGTGAGTGCTAGTGCAGACTTGCTCCCTGAAATGGTGCAGGTTTGTTTTTAGAAGCCAATAATTCATTACGATGGATGTTTGAATCTCTTTTCCTTCCATAGTAATTTTTTTTCTATAGATAAGTTCTTTATTAACTAGAAGTCTTGAATAAAGCTTCCCACTCCCTTTGCATATGAAGTTGCTTCTCCAGTGTGTAGTTCTGAAGGTGCTAAACTGAATGAAAAGAAATAATTATCCAATTGTTTGACAAAGAGAAAACATACTGTGTCGGTGTGGTGGCAGGCCTTTGTAGTGTAGACCATGAAAACTCCTAGAGAAGTACAAGTGAAAACAGTTTGAGTAAGGGACAAGTAAGGTAGGAAGAAGGGATTATCCTCACATTTTGCATGCTACATCAGACAGGTAGTTTATGTCAAATATACCTGGTCAAGAATTGTAACCCTGCCATGATTCCTGTGCAAATTTGACTCTTACTTGAAACTGCTCATGTCCCACTTACATGTCTGTAAATTTTATGGGACCGAACAGACCTTAGTGCTTGTAAAACAGAGACTGGAATTGGTCTTTCTGCACTTGTGATCATCAGTGTTTTCAGACATACTGTACTTTGGGCACTCCATTTTTGCATTTACCCCCAGATACCAGAGTTCAGAAGCTCTCAGATGGCTGAATTGCGGCGCTGTGAGTGCATGGGGAAGGGTGCACAGTCCTGTCGGTTTGCTCTGATGAGGCCATACATCTGCCGTAGCAGTAGTCCTTTCAGGAGGAACAGGGGCAGCTCTCAGCCACTATTTTGTGGTGTCTCCAGAAATATGTAGCGTCGCTGTGCCCACACAGATTAGTAAGTTTGACAGGTTGAGAAGAGTACTTAGAACTAGCCTTTGTTTTTAATTTTAAAAATTGTGTGCTTGGCACTATTGGCCAGCACAGATCTTGGTAGATCTTGAAGATACATTTGGTGGTGGTTTCCCAAGACATGCCCACTCTAGAACACAGTTAGTCTTGGAACTGGAGAGGATCTGAGTAGCTGGAGAACGGATGTGGTGGCCTGCTGCCTCTTGAGGGGTGACAAGTGGTTGGAACTTTGGAGCCTGTGAACACTTTTGGCACTGGTTGATCCATGACACCATGTCCTGCAGCTGGTAGAACTCAGCGGACAAGCTGCTGAATGACAGCTGGTGCAGCAGCTTCTTCCACTTGAATGGCTTGCAGTTGTTCTGGTGATGGCCCTTGTAGTCCATCACGCTCTCCTCCTGGAGGAGGTGCGGATGGCCGTGCTGTCTCTCTGTAGCAGCCCATGGGTGAAGTAGACCACTGCCCGCCTTTCATATTTTACCTGGACCATATCAGTGAGGTGCATGATTCCTCACTATACCTAGGTAGGTGTTTTGGACTTCATGTGAAGTCTGGAAAGAGCATCAGCTATAGATTCAAGAGGCATAGCTCTTTCTTTAGGACTCCTACAGGCTCCTTCTCCTGGTGAGCTGAAGGGGTCCCACAGCTGCCAGCTGCAGTATGCAGAGACTGTGAGGTCTCACTAGGAGACAAGTGAAACGAACCTGAGTCGTGTCAGCCTGAACAGTCCTGACAGTCATGTCTTGAGTGGCCAGAGACGTATTTATCTCCTAGTGATGCTGGAGGAAGTTGTATCTCAAGCAGAAAAATGAGGTGAGCATGACACACTGTATTGGTACCAGCTAAATTCAGTTCAGTCTCGGCTGCAAACAGAGCAGGGGAAGAGGCCCTTGGCAGCGTGAGCACAGTCCAGGATGGGCGTCAGATTCAAAAGCTGAACGTGTACATCCTCGGCTTGGGAGGGCTCTTTTCAGAGGGGCACAGGAGCACTTCATGGGAAGCAGAATGTGGCAGCAGTGAAAGGTCCATGTTGCACACGTACAACGTCAGACTTGTCCTGAGATCGGTCTCTTCCTCTTCCATCTCTTCGTGGCCCACTGCAAGGTAGCCAAGCCTCAGATTGTTGCTGAGTTCTTCCAGGTCATGGCTCAGTAGCTAAATGAAAGATGTTAATTACTTATCTAGTGAAGCAAAGGGTTGGGTTTGCGTTCTGTCTATGCTGGACACCAATGATTTTATTTTTCTGGGGTAGTAGTCACATGAATAATGCATTCCCTGCTGAGCCTTTTTAACAGTCCCCGAGCTGCTTCCCATCTGAAGGGAAGTGTAAGAGGTAATTAACAGCCACTTGAAAAAAGGATTAGCAGGTGGGTGGGAGCTACTGTTGGGTTCATGCATGGAATTGCCATGGAAATGCTGAGATTTCCTGGCACTTCATCCAGTGTGTGGGCTCCAAAGATAGTTGCGCTCATGGGCCTCTCTCCTTTCGATCTTCCTACCCTACAAAGGGAGTGGCTGTATTTTCCTTCAGGACAGCTTCCGCAGGCTGCGCTGTCGCCATCGGCACACGCGATGAGGCCTGCTAACCAGGGATGCTGCAGAGAGTGGGACGCTGTGCCGCAGCTGGCGGCTGAAGTCTCTTTGCATTTCTTTCATATCAGACCAACTGGCAGAAAATCAGGGGGGGAGAAAAACCCAAACCCTGATGGTTTACCCCTTCAATTCTAAAAAATAATAACTTGATGCACAAAACACTCAGAGTTTGTCGCTTCTTAGGGGAGTTGGTGCTGGTCCTCATCCTGCATACTTTCACCAGCTCAGTAGCCCTTGCATTGCCAAACTCACTGAAGCAGATGGGACTGTGCAGCTGAGCAAGGGCTGTTTTGCACATAAGCATTTGCAGGCTGTGCTCCAAGAGCTGCATTTGCTTCTGGTCTCGTTTGCTGGCCAGTTGCATGCTTAAAATATTGGGCTTATCTGTGAGAAATGTCTCTCATTTCAGTACCAGCTCTGGAGGTTTACAAGGCTGTGGGCACGTGTTCATTTGAAAAGGTTCCCGGGGGAACCTGCCATATCGTGCCCTCCCTTCCCCTTTCTGCACCAGTAACAGCCAGCCTCCTGAATTTGTCGGTGTCTGGGGTGCTTTGGTTTTAAGGAAAGTGTGCCATTTGTTTCAGATCACCTGTTAGCAGACTCCTACATTGGGCAGGAGGACTCCCCGGAGATGCAGCAGGCGGCACAGAACAAGCGCAGGCTCTCCGTCATCTCAGACGGCAAGTTTGAGAGGAGCTTCTCCGAGGAGCAGGCAGAGAAGATGCCAAGCGAAGGACCGAAGCCACGAGTCTACACGATCTCTGGCGAGAGGCCGATGCTGTCGGACCACGAGAACGAAAGTATGGAACTGGTGGTGATGAAGGGGGCTGCCCAAGAGGAATGCCAGCACGGCCACCACGTGCACAGCGCTGGCGGCTCTCACGGCGTTGGCAGGCATTGCAAGGGCTGGCCAGGCAGCCGGCAGGGCTCCAAGGAGTGCCCAAACTGCACCCGGCTGGCTGCCCCTTCCCAGCATTCCTTTGACCTGGAGCAGCATCAGTCCGGCGAGACCGGGTGGCACAGAAAAAGGCTGGAGAGGATGTATAGCGTTGATCGGGTGTCAGGTAAGTAAGGGTGGGTGCTGGGTGCTGGAAGGACACAAAGGGACTCATCAGCACAGGGGTGTGAAGGGTGACACCCATCTCATCCCAGCATGGAAGTTTTGTTGCCGTGTGCCTCGAGGTGGGTCCTGGAGTGTTTCCCCTTCGGCACGTTGCCGGTACCTTGCACCAGCGTTCATGGAAAGGGATTGTCCAAGGAGTCGTCTGAAATAAGCTGAGCTCAGTTTGAGGCCAGCTTGTCCAGGCTCCACTGTCTCTGCTTCTAGCTTGTAAGCAGCAGGTGACCTGCGTGGTTTTCATGACAGCG